CCTTCAAAGCCTTTAAGGAATCAAGTTAATTGTTTTTAATTATCAAAAGAATTTAAATTTCATTTTACAAAACAAGGCAACAATAATGTAATCGGTGACCCCAATTTATTTTCGTTAAAAATCTTACAAAGTTTATATATATTATTGTGTTCTATTTAACCATATCATACGCTTTAAAAAAAGATTCGGTGCGAGCGGTATTAAACTATTTTTAATCAATATACTGCGATACATTTAGAAATTTTGTTAATGTATCTGCACATTTATTAGTTTTCTTTCAAAAGTACATATACAAAATATTCTTAAGTACTTTATTCTAAACACATGCAAACACAGAAATAAGTTACAATTAAATTAAATAGAATAAAACGACATTATATTTATGGCATAAATAGGCAATTATGTCGAGGTATAATGTACGGAATATCGTTAGGGCCATCGTGGGTAGAAACACAAGTAGTTGGTTATTCGTAATTCACAACTACCTACCAGCAGGTAGTTGGTAATTCGAACTTTGCATGTTTTCCCCCTAAAAAACAACAGAAAGTACTTTGCCGGTATAAATGTAATGGATATATAACAAGATAGATGTGTTCGTCAAAATTGAAACACCTTATCGAACTATGTCCACCAGCGGAATCAGTTGGTTATAGTAGAATATGCTGACCAGTTAAATATGTAGTAAAATATGCATGATAAGTTAATCTTATAGTGAAAATTGCTAACCATTCCTATTAGATATATAGAGAAAATTATGTTTTGACGTTTATTTCTTTCATTTTTTTATGTTAGTAATTAGTAACATTTAGCAAAGTTAGTAATATATCAAATTATACTTTTTACAAAATAATAAAACCACTGATGACTAGCTACAATTTAATAGATATTATTTACGTGATTTTAGTAATATTTTTATAGTGACCAGTGCTGACCAGTTAGATTTATTAATGAACTTTATTTTCATTTGTCGAGAAATTTTTCTTCTACTGAACAATTAAATATAAGGAATCTATTCATTTTTTACACAGACTGTTCAAATCTACATGATCAACATTATCATTTTTTATTACAAAATTTGATTTTTTGTACATATTTTTGTAAAATTATCTATGTATATAATTTGTTTGTCTTTTTATATAAGTAATAAAATTTTTGCATCTTTTAAATGTCAACATAACATTACAATGTATTTTCATCTGAAATCTTTCGACTATATTAAAGTTTTACACAAATTATTACATTTTCCGCTCATGTTTAATTCTTTAAGTATCCCCTTTCTACCGCAAGGAAAAAGTCGACAATGCGATAATGCGATGGAAGCAAAACGATAGTGCGATGGCGACAGTACGGTGATGCGATGGCGACAATTAAAAAATGCGACGATAATGCGACAGTGCAATGACGACAGTGCGATAACGCGATGGCGACAATCGCACGATCGTAATGTCGCCATCGCGTTATCGCCATCGCATAACGCATTGTCACATGATCGTACTGTCGTTATCGCATTGTCGCCTTCGCACTATCGCATTGACGTTATCTCACTATCGCATTGTCGTCATCGCTCTATAGCACTGTCGCCCTCTGGATTATAAATTATAAACACGATGGCCCTTACAGTATTCCGTATTTATGTTAGTAGGGATCTAAATAAGTAAACCTTATCTATACGACTTCTTTTTTTAAATATGTTTACTTTGTAAACTCGATATTGCTAAAATGTACTGAATAACAAACTTACCCATCTTTTCAGCCTAGCGGAGGAAGTGCACGCCACACGTAAGATTAAGTACATTATTTTCCCAATACTTTCGTGTTTTTTTTTCGTTCTTTGTCAAAATAAAGGCGTTCTTTAAGGGAATTTATTTGTACATGGACTAGCTGAACAGCACAGAACATATATATTATTTGACATAACCATTACAAACTCATCGTCGTTTACCAATGAAAATCGGTATCATCGATATATGTAAATGTAATCAATGTTTGAGATTTTGTTATTGATTTACGCCGTTATGGCATACCAGTAATGAACAATGTGTCTTTATAGCCATAACAGGTTTGCGGTCGCAGCGTCAAATCCTTGTGGAGCAAAGTCAACAAAGTCATACCACACAGTCAAGAGGTTTTGCATTTCTTTCTTATTACATAAAATGTGTCTCTTACAAACAAAATATTTTATTTTTTCGACCAAAGTCATTTGTGAACAATGCATTTAAGGACGTAATTAAAAGTTATTACTTAAATAAAAGATAATTTTGCGATGTTTCAATAATGACGAAGGTCTTGCTATCATAACACTATCCAGATAAATCATGTTTGGTATTTTAAAACAAGTTTCTACTTCTTGTGTCATAAAGCAAAGAACAAAACATGTTTCAATAATGATATTTAGCCCTTAATTTTGAATTATGTACATGACTTGTTTGCTATTATATTTTAAGTAATCTGGAATCAGATGGAAATCGTCGACCTACTAGAGCGCCAGCTGCAAGGTACGCGCTAGACGCATTTTTGTAGAACCTTAAATATAAACATTAAACGTGACATTTGAAATCACTCGTACAAACTTATTATGTAGAATAGCTATAACTTATTCTATGCATAAAACATTGTGATAGTAAGTATTGACTTAGTTTAGCTCCAGACGCAACCAAAAAGAAATTTGAGCCGTGTCATGACAAAACCAACATAATGGGTTTGCGACCAGCATGGATCCAGACCAGCCTGCGCATTCGCGCAGTCTGATCAGGATCCATGCTGTTCGCTTACCAACCTTATAACAAGTAGAGAAACTGATAGCGAACAGCATGGATCCTGATCAGACTGCGCAGATGCGCAGGCTGGTCTGGATCCATTATGTCGGTTTTGTCGTGACGCGGCTCATTTATTTTAATATTATTTTAGAAAATGTTCATGACCCATGACATCAGTTAAAATATAACACATAAGGATGCATATAAAAATGTTATAGACCCAAATTCAACGCAGCTCTATAAGCCAAAAACTGTAATATAAACACTTATTGTTTTAGAAATGTTTATTTTTTAAGAAAAAAATCAGAAAACTGACCCACTGGGTTGTACCTTTAATAAAGTATTTTGAGATTATTTTGTGTCATTTATGTTTTCAAAATATGTTTGTTTAAAGACACATATCCTAGTGAGTAGTGCTCGTAATTATTTTTTTCATTGAATTGCTTCTATTATGAAACCTTTACATGTTTTTAGATATTTTATCTTTGGACTTTTTTCAGACAAATCGGGGGTATAAGGTAATTTATATATTTTTTATATTTATTAAAAAAATAGTAATTGTCCTTCTTTTTTTTACGAGTATTAAATCACATATAATGAAAACACTTAGGTTATATTTAAAGATTCTCATTATTATGTATGAATAGTTTACTACCTTCAAAACATACGCTGGTGACTACCAAATGCTTATTCAATATCTACATGTTTCTGTCACATTTAAATACTAGTATAATTCAAATGTATGCACTTTTAAAATACTGTTTTTTAAGTTAGATTTTTAATAATATATAAAATTTAATACAATCACATATAAAAAGCGCCATTGCTTTTACAGTAAAGTAGAACGTAAAGATGAAGAAAGAAGAACAAATAGGTAAACGTTTGTTCAAAATTAGATTGGGATTATTTAAACAAACTACCAAATACTAAACTGTATTTCATCATTTATTTGTTATTCAAGACATGTTGTCTGTTTCGGACAAATAAATGAAAAGGTAAAAAATAAGTCAGGTTGTGCTTCTTCAATTATTGAAGAAATAGTAAAATCATATATTGTATAATGGTATATCATTTGGAAAAATTTGATTAAGGACGATTTCTTTTTCAATCTTTATTGCATCTTTAAAAGTGGCATTATTTAGGTTCAAGCTGATATAACAAGGACCTGATGCATTTGCATTTATACATTTAAGGAGTAACGGTACATATAGAGAACCTAATGATGAGATTTTAAAGATAACGAAACAGATCAAGAAATTATTTAACAACATAAGAGATGGAACAAAAGATAAAAATGTAAAAGAAGAGGTGTTCCGAAATGAACCAGATTCTTCAGAAGATATGTTAAAGTGTATCGAATGGTATTTCCGTCAATATCAACAGGAAATAGAAAGGTTTGTTTGCAAAATAAATATGTACGGCATACATTTAAAACCGTCAAAACCAGATGATGAAACAATAATTATACATTAACGAAGCCTTGCAGATTTCTTTTATCACACATTAGATTGAACAATATGTTCTAGTCATCTAGCACCGGTTTTAAATAGCTTAAAGCTTTATTATCTTATTTGACCAAAAAACACAATAATACTGAGATACAATTAAACAGCGTCAATGATTTATTTTAATTGATTATCTATGTTCTAAATTTAAAATATCTATACTTTATTCTGATTTTTGTTAAGGTATCAACAAGGAAAGAAAAACGTTGAGGCAGAAATTGTAAAACTAGCTAAAGACGTCATTGATGCAGATGCTGGTATTGAAAAAGAAATACACGAACAAATTATAAGTATTCGTTTGCAAATGGAACAACAGAAACGCACATATTTAGAGAGGTATCCACTTTCTACCGTTATGGTTGTAGTCATGTTCATCATTTTCAGAAAATCTTACTGAAAAGAAATACAAAGCACACTATAGAAGCATATAATTAAAACATACATAGTTAGGATCTTATCCAATGCTTGTATCATAGTTTGGGGACGTTTCTGTTGAAAAAGTGTCCAAGTTAAATCGTATACATATACATGCACAGTGCGGTAACTGGAGTGCAGGTATCAGTTACCCGCACTCCAGATCATGCCCGTTGATTGGCTCATTTTTCCTGGGGTTTACATATTGTGACGGCAGAGAAAAGGAAAGCTGCAGAAATATCATATTCAGATGCTCGATCATTGGTTACTTTTTCCCGGGGTTTAAATTTGTGACAACAGGGAACGTGTTTTTATGTTTGACTATGATACAAAAGAGAAAGACCACAAAAACACTCGGCAATCTGATTTATACTCGGGGGCTACGCCCCCTCGTACAAATCAGATAGCCTCGTGTTTCGGTGCTCTTTTGATTACTTAATTTATAAGTAAAGGAAATGATAGTAAAATTGGAAAATAAGAATAATATTTTTTCTTCAATATACCCGTTCTTGAGAAATACCTTTTAACATATCATAGCGAATATCAATACTATTTGTCGTAAGCACTTACATTTTTACAGTGTCTCAATGTACGAAAAAGAGAAGTCCTGTGTTAATAAAAAAACAAACAAGTTAGCAATTGGGGTTAAGTGTATAAAAAAAGTTGAAGGTATGAATAAACAAAACAAAGTGGAAACTGCAGAGGATACTGAATATCGGATTGTGGAAGTTATACGAATAATTTGAAGGTCACTTGAATCGCAAAACTGTCAAACACAAGAAAGGTAATACAAAATAGATGGGTACTGTAACATTTTTCAAAGCAACACAACGCTTGCATTCAGACCGTAATTTCATATCATCTTGCTTCCCTCTTAAACATTTCCTTCCTTGCAGAATTTAAACACAATTATTACTGGAATATGGTTAATGTTTGGCCAATTAAGGGCATAAAAGGGTAGACCAAAACGTTCGGCCGTGGAAAGCAGAACGGGAGTATTTTGGAAATAATAAAAAAAATATGTCTTGGAAAAATGGAATGAATGAGCACCCTATAGCCTGTTCTATATTTTTTGGTATTACATTGATTTTTTTTTCATGAGTAACATTTGATCATGACAAGGAAATTTCTTCATTTCTTTTTACAATTTCTTCGTCTATAATCCATTTCTTTACTTATTCAGAATTCGAACATCCCACACACTGGTGGGAGGTCTGTATCAGAAGAATGACAAAATTTAAATAGAACATGTCCTAACATGGTGCAAGAACTCAAGAAATAGTAGTTTTACACACATCTAAGTTGTAATTGGTGGGCTTCTAAATCAAACTGTCTTTTGAGGTCTTTACCATGACATTTATTTTTGACGAATAATGCGCTAAGGTGATTGTTTTTCATAAAGCCCTTAAATTTATATCTATTTGTCCCATCTAGTTTAACCTTTGGTTCTTCATTCAGTCCTCCAAAGATAATTTGATCCAGTCTATCAACTCAAAACGTACAAAGTCTATGTTGATGATACTCGGTACTTGTATTTGAAAGGACTTTAGGCAAATTATGCATTTTTTTTATTTTTCATTGCGATTGCTTTAGTTACGGAAGTGACGAAACCAATGAAAACTGAACAAAAATTAAGCCTGCAAAAAAGATAGGCTGATGATTTTAGGTATGTAGACATAGAGCAATACAGAGCTAAGGTCGCCGTTTCCATGTCTTCCGTTTGTCTGTCATTATTTCTTGTCCAAAGAAATTTGGATGTAATCATAACAATCAGGTAGATGCTATTTGGTGTATGGATAAAGGGTTTTATGAAAATATGAACGTTTGTTTAAGTTTTTCATCTGTCCGTCAGTTTTGAAATTCTGCATTGGTTTTTAAAAATAAACATTTGCAATGAAATAACGGAATTCTTTCAGATAATTATCATATTTTATTTACCTTAAAATAAACTGGTCCTGAATAAATGGTTATGTAATACAAGAAATAATTATATCGACCATCTTTGTATCATACTTGACAACAAACTACGAAAGAATTAGCAAGTATGTTATTTTATAGATATTTATTATATTTTCAAATACTATTAGACAATAATTATTTGTCTGGAACAAAATATCATTCGTAAGATAAATACTCGTACTAAAACCATTAGAACTGTACCAACATTTTATTGTTAAGAAATATTTTATACAGGTCATTCATTTTGTTTTTATTAATATTTGAAATACTATAGCTATTTATAGTGAGTTTATAGTGCATGTTTATAAAAATACCTGTTTTGTGTATACAGACTGGAAGAATTAGAACTTAAATCACAATACAACAGACAAGTCTTTGGAGATTTATGTACACTTCTAAAAATAGATCTTGAACCACGGCAAAAAGGAGGAAGTAATGACAATTGGAAGGTTATTGTCGAAGATATAAAAAGGTAACTAATATAAAGTTTGTAATTAAAAGGGCATTCTACTACAATGGTGTTTAAACGTTAAATGCCTTTAAACCTTTCATTCATATGCATTATCATATTTGTTTTGCTTGATCCTTGTGCGAAAAGAATGATCTCCGTGTCAGTTTGTCTACTGGTCATTTGTTTTTTTCAACGCTGAGTTAAAATCAAAAGTGATAAGTAGACGTTATTTGCAGAGACATTATTTCTTGGAATTTATCAAGGATGGACTGATAACTGAACAAGTTACCAAAACAGTGCCAAAGTCGGCATTCAACCCAACAAAGCCATATAGAAATTGATATTCATGTATATTTAATTTTAGGTTGGTTGAAGACAAAGATCACTTTGTTGAATATGCTGAAAAATGGCTAAAGGATATATCAACATTAATTACTAGAGAACCATTTTCGGAGCATTTTGACACAAAACTTGCACTAGTACAAGAGCCTGATTTTCAGCAACTTTTGTCTGGCATGCATAATGTTCAGTTGTGTTTAGAAGATTATCTTAAAAGGTTTGTTGCATTACATTGTATATTTAGCGGTTTATTTCTGATTAAAACAATAGCAATTTAAGGCAGCACTTCTCCAGATTCATGCTAATTTTCATAAAAAATTAAAAATGCATTTAACAGTTAAATATTGTAAAGTTACCAAAAGAATGCAATTTACACATTATCAATGGCACTAACAACCGATGTTAATTACTATAAAGAGGTCAAACTATACTAAAATAGCCCCTACTGCGTTAGTAACGCAGTAGAAGTATAGTTATAAATACTGAAAAATTCAATCATTAATCGAACATAACATGAAAATTTTTACTAGAATTTTGAATCTTTATACCTTTACTAAATCTTACTACATTTTTGTCAGGTTTGAATTTACCGAAATATGTTTGTTCATCTAGAGGCGCGCAGCTTTAAACCATTAGGAATGAAAAATTAGCACTCAGTTTAATCTTTAAAAGTTTAATAAATCAGAGTAATACCCACGTTTCAAATGTGAAGCTGTTTTAGGAACAACATTCGTATTATCTTATTCAATGACTGACCTATTTCATTTAATATATTTGCATGGTAAATGTAAAATATGGAAACAAAGATCTACAAGGATGCAAGGCATCCAATGAACGCAGCAAAAGGATCAAACTTTAATAACATTAATGTATAAGGAAAAGCTTTTGTTGCTAACTGTCGTTACTTTCTTTAATTTCAATATGACTCAGAACACAGCCATTCAAACATTATGATATTTTACAGCCATAAAGAGAAATTCGTGAAAATTGAAGCTTGGAATGAGTTGAGAGAATGTCGAAAAAGATTGCAGAAAGAAATAGGAGAACTGAAGGAAGAAAAAGACGTACTTTTAAACAGGTTGGAAGTGGACTCAATTTTTTTTATCTGTTGAACTATTTGTAATAAGAGAAAAATACACATCAATAAAGGCCTCCTTGCTATAAAGTGATTAGTAATATATCCCTGGTACAATTAACCCATGGAACTTTACTAGAACATAAAGGGGAAAAAAGAAAGAAAAGCAAAGGAAAGAAACTAAATTTTTAAAACAATCGCATTTCAGTTAATAGTACTAGAACAAACTTATAGTAGTGGGCAATTCATATTGAATAAATTCAAGCTGCCCGATGAATAATAATTCACTTGAAATCGGAACACTTGATGTCATCCAGAAAGTTTTTTCTGCTTAAAAGTTTGAGGTAACAATGAGCACAATTGTAAAAGGTTTAAAATTTGAACTGAAAAGTTTTTTGTCATATCTTATTTCTTGTTCAGATTATCAAAAATGGCTGGAGCAAATTTAACAGACAACAATCCAGCTATAGCTGATTTGAGTGATCCAAACAGAGCAACTAAACTTGCCGAGCAGTTTTCTGAGCTTTACGATAATTCTTGGACCGATGCATACGAGGTTCTAGAAATATCTGACGAAAAAGAGTGTATCCAGTACCTGCTTAATATAATCGTGGTAAGTTCTTAATAAAAGTTTTCCATATTATTGAATAACTATAATTTCATATTGAGAGCTATGTATACACATCATATACTGGCACGAGACATTATAACAATAATTAACAAAGTTATATCTACAAACTAGTCACTGTATGCATGCGTAAGGCATACTTAAAATCTAAACAATTAAAAAAAATATTTGATTTATTTGATTATAGTATATATGATCTCACAAGTTGGTTCTTTTATTCAGAATGTAAATAATGCGGGTCATTAACATTATATTTCTAAACATTTACGTCAGTTCCACGCTATGGGATTAATTTTGCAATAACTGCACAGTGCACGATATTGCCAATTGATAAATGCCATAGGGTCGAAATATAAATAAAATTAAATGACTTACAATAGAGTCATTTTAACGAATTATAATTTCAGTGGTATATAAGAATTATATTTCTGTCAATGCAAATGTTACAAATATTTATATAGAAATATAGTTGATACCACTCAAATGTTAATTGATGTGCATTGTCTTAAACATATTGAATTAAATCATTCAATTACACACAAAATGTTAACTGGTTTTACTTGTTATTAAAAATACACTTTTAGGAAAATAAATTAATTCCACTAAGTTATAAAATTGCATTAGAATTAAAGAATTTATATTTATATGCGTTATTCTGTATATACACATTTTAGAGAAAAAAAATAAATGAGTAGCACGAACTTGGACTTACTTCTCAGTTTAGATATTTTTCTTTGATTTTTTAACTGTAAAAAGTCATTTCACATTGGTTTATTTTAAAAAAAACTTTATTTGACATTCCTTTGTAAAAGCCATATACCTAAAGAACCAAATATATACTCTCTTTCATAACATACTCGTTTTTATATGAAAAAGGTATCTTTGTTATTCGTTTCATTATAACTAAAGTATTATGCAATACTCGGAAATGAATTGTGTCCATGTTTATACATAACTTGTTATTTTTTCTTTTTTACAGGAAATCATATAGTATGTGTGCGGGGTATTTCAAATAACCAACAAAGAGCCCTTGCTAGAGCATTACATTATCCAACTGAAGGGTTGAGCATTAAACGACGACAACAAATGAGGTACATCATATTATATGTCATTTAACATTTTGATTATGACCAAAAGAAGACTCACAAAATGTGTGACAAAATTATTCTTGAGTAAATTTTTATATAGTCAACTAGATATCATTAATCGATTAAATTAATGGGATAATGTGATTTCAATATAATAATGTAAATAACATTTAACATCTCTGTTAGGAATATATTGATAAAAGAGATTATCAGTTAATTGTGATTAATGATTTTCAAATAAATGTGAATAAAGTTGAGATTGACTTATAGCAAATTCAGTAAGAAGTGTTACCTTCATCAATCTCAAACTGCAATCTTTTAATCATTTATGAAGGTTTCTATTTTAGAAAGGATGTTCACGCACTGATGACTAATGATACTGCTTTTAGCTAACAAAAACAAATTTCATGTTTCGTTTCTGCATGCTTCTTATTATGTTTCTTCACATGACATTGAATAACTGAACAAATATATGTAGCAACTTGCCTTTTTTTGTCTTCAATGAACTAAAGATAAGACACGAAATTTCAAATATAACGATAGTCTATCAATTTTCTATTTTCATTAACAATGTATTGTTTAAGTTAGTTATATTTTTATTAAACAGGTGAGCCAAGACAGCGGTTTAAACCTATCTAAACTCCAGTCAAGAACCTTATCAGATTTACGAAAAACATCCGCTGATTTGTCGATTGTAGATGTGAAATCGGTAGGCTTTGATTTTAAAGAACATCCACTGATTAAGACAAATATGTCGCTTACTTGAAAGTACTTTTTATGTTATCTCTATACCTTATTCAAATATACAATACGATTAAGTTTTTAAAGGGATACGTGAAAAGAGAGCATGAGAAAGTATAAGAAAGAATGAGAGAGTAGAATCATGTCAATTAATCAACATCTCGAGTAAATATAACATCTAACAATTCATGCATTTGTGAAGTCGTATTTTATGAGAATACAATATCAATCAAAACTACATTTATTGGTTTTACATCAATTATTATTACATAATATATTCTTATAAATTTTATGTGTACGTACTACTTTATGCAGCAGTGATTGTTCGATTCAATATGCTTTATTACAATCTGATTTATTTACAGTATATTGCTGCAAAGAATGAGAACTGGTTAGAAAAGGTGAATTTAAAACAATTCACTTTGTCATGCATCGAGCTCTGCTGGTTTATGCATCTTCAGTCGCCACCTGTTTATCTGGATGCCACTCTTGTGTCAGGCTCAACGTTTGATACCAACAAATATAAACCGTACACTAAATCCGGGAAAGGAAATTGATTTCATAGTTTGGGCCATCACTTTATTTGCACAAAGGTGGACCAATCTTATGCAAAGGGGTTGCACAAGGAAAGTAGACGTAACATTTTTATGTATTTTAAGTCTTAGAATGGTTATAGAGTGATGTGCATTTTTGTTGTCGTAAATACAGTTCATTTTACGATGGAGCTGTAACAGAATAGTTGTCGACATAAATCTCTTGTAGCTTTCACATCTCTACAAATTGAAGTGGAATATTTGCTCAAAGAAATTTAAGTGTATTTGTTCAGAAATAACAACAAGAGATAATATGTACGTGTGCGTATAAATGTATGTCATCCGTGAGTCGGGAAAAACACACTTGAATATTATTTAATGAAACAGATGTATGTCTATGGTTCTAAGAATGTATGGTGGAAAAGGTTTTGATTTTGATATTAATGAAAAGTAAAAAAGTAAAGAGTACATAAATGTTTTTAAATTTTAAGTTTAGCAAATTATAGAGATTATCATGACATTCTTTAACACTTTTTTGCAGTGTTTTTGGCAACAGTGTTTTTTTTCGTTTTGACCGTTTATTTTTTTTTTCCAATCAATATATGTTACATTGAATAAAAATATTTATATTTGGTGATGTGCATTCATTTATTTGAACAATATGTAAAACTATTAAGTTATTCTGAAATTTAAAAATTTAAGCTGCCATATTTCTAATCATTTCATAGTAAATATTATGTATAAAATATTATTATTTATTTATTTATTTATTAGATACATGTATATTTTCTCAAATAGTCAAACAGAAAACCATTATCTGACCAGACTAAATCAAATCTACGAACATAAAGAGGAAAAATTTTGCCCCATGAAAACCTTAAACTGTAAAAGTTACTCTAAGATTTAATTGTAGAATTTCATTTGTAAAGTGTGTGCAAACTTGTCTACATCCGTAGACAGTAAAAATAAGCGACAGAACATTTTAATTTATAATATATAAAAATAATCCGACAATGAGTAGCAAACATATATTAATTGAGAGCCTTATAATCTATCTAAATTATGACCACATTAAAAATGTAAAGCAAAACATAATTATGTAACAATTTAATTTTTTTCTGTTTCTAAAGGAAAGTCCAGTAAACATGTATTTCTAAATACTAGTATATTATCTCATAATGATAGCCACACACTTTTTAACCTCTGACAGACATTTTCTATTTAAATAACTTTTCGACATAGACGAAAGTATATATCTGATGTCGAAGACAACAGTCCGTACCATTACATCGTGATTGTGACGTCATCAGGAATCTTTGACTTCAACGTATTGTGTAAAGAATTTAAAAAATGCGAGAGATATTACACTTTCCATAAAAAATTCTCAAACATTCGATACAAACAAATAAAAAATTCTCAACATTCGATACAAACAAATAAAAAATTCTCAACATTCGATACAAACAAATAAAAAATTCTCAACTTTCGATACAAACAAATAAAAAATTCTCAACATTCGATACAAACAAATAAAAAATTCTCAACATTCGATACAAACAAATAAAAAAATCTCAACATTCGATACAAACAAATAAAAAATTCTCAACTTTCGATACAAACAAATAAAAAATTCTCAACATTCGATACAAACAAATAAAAAATTCTCAACATTCGATACAAACAAATAAAAAATTCTCAACATTCGATACAAACAAATAAAAAATTCTCAACATTCGATACAAACAAATAAAAAATTCTCAACATTCGATACAAACAAATAAAAAATTCTCAACATTCGATACAAACAAATATAAAGAATCTATCAGATCAAGTCCAAACCTTGACAATCTTGCATGGCCAGTTATTTCCTTCACTAAGACGGCCTCTTTTTTATAAGACGGTTATACAAGTAAATACAAAAATAACTAGAAATCTTATTCTAAATTATATAACTTCCTATATAAAATAGTCAAAGGATATCCAATTGTGGAAATGTATATTATTCAAAAACGTTTACATCGTCTTATTGTTTATTGTTTAATCAATTTTATTGCTATAAACATGTATTTACAATACAGATACAAATTTCATATGTATTCTAAACAGCAAAAGCAAACGGGGTTGGGCCCAAGTTCTTACAACATTAGCGGTCGGCCCTCCCCGGTAGATAATGAAACGAAAAAACTATATTCAATTCTTAATTGCATATAACATAAACATAGTATATAATATCATGTATAATTGCTGATGTAATAAATCGTAATAAACGATTTTTAACAATATACAATAAAGCAATCGAACAGATAGAAATCAACGTTCGTGTATATTATAAAGTTATAAATATGGATGATCCAAGGATTCAGTATTACCTCCCCTCCAACCCCACCCCTAAGTGTGACAGGTTTCGTTAAGGCTGTTATGTGCATTTACTTTATATTGGGTACAGGGTATTTGTAATTACTACATATATAATATGTAATATGCTAAGTACATGTATAACTGATTACAATAAAGGTTTAATGTTTAGGTATAAGTGAATCGATTTGTATTTTTAAAAAAATTATGGACACCAGTAAATATAATTTCATTATCTTTCGGTGCTAGGCTATCACTACCAAGTAACAGTAGATTTGTATTCAGAAGAGAACGTCATAGTTTCTGTAAAGAGTGTTATTTTTTGCGTTTGATAACTCGGACATTTAAAGAAGAAATGCACAGCATTCTCTACTGCATTTCCGCAATAACATGTGGAATTTTCACTAAAATGTTTTCTATTTAGGTCACCATTTAGGTCACTGCGATTGTTTCTTACACGTGAGTGTAAAACTGATTATAATCTATCACCTATCAAAAATGTTTAGGTACAATAGGAGCTTTGAACATTTCTTTCATTCTAGTTTTAAATATGTTAAGTGATTCAGCATTGCGAATTCTAGTATCAAGTGAATTCCAAAGTTCAGTTGCTGTAGGTAAGAAAGATATATTATACGTTTCAGTACGACGAGCTAAAGTTGCATAATTGTTATTATTTAGAAGTGGATAGTTTGATGTTTCTGAAACAGTACTTGGGAAGAGATCTTCAAGATAATGAAGGACAAGGCCTTTTTTGCTTTGTAAACAGTGACTTATTTTTTGAAATTTACGTCTGTCTGAAAGAGATACCGAGCCGACTTCATTAATCAGTGAATTTATCGATACAGACCTAGTTAACACAATAACGACGCGCACGGCTTCGTATTGCAATTGTTCAAATGACTGCTTTCTGATTAATGTACAACCGTCACACACTACTGAGGCGTATTCCAAAATCGGACGCATGTAAAAGATGTATATTATATTTATAGTATATCGTTTAAGTAATAGAAAGAGCACCGAAACACGAGGCTATTTGCCGAGTGTGTTGGTGTTCTTTCTCTTTTGAATCATAGTCAAACATGACAACACGTTCCCTGTTGTCATAATATGAAACCCCAGAAAAAATTAACCAATGAACGAGCATTTGAATATGATAGTTCTGCCCCTTTCCTTTTCTCTGCCGTCACAATATGTAAACCCCGGCAAAAATGAACCAATCCACGGGCATTATCTGGAGTGCGGGTAACTGATACCTGCACTCCAGTTACAGCAATGTGCATGTATATGTATACGATTTAACTCTGACACTTTTTTAACAGAAAGGTCTCCAAACTATGATACAAGTTTGAATAAAATGCACGCATTGTATTTAAAACGTTTGACGCAGATAACATTATTTTTTCGATATGTTCATGTCACTTGAGAAATTGTCAAGCCTAAATGTTTGTAATGATCAACAAAGTCAAGACGATTGTTATTAAAGAACACTATTGACTTAGGATTTGTGTTTGAAGAGAAAAACATAACTTCAGTTTTATTGGGATTGAAACTCACAAGCCATTGATTAGTCCATTCATTAATGATATTAAGGTCGCGATTTAAAGTGGTTTCAATGAAGCCGATATTGTTTGAAGAAACAGCTAAAGAGCTGTCGTCTGCAAAAAGACGAGTAATAGAGAGTAAGTTTTCAGCAATATCATTGACGTTAATAAAAAAAATAGAGGCCCAAGGGCTTAGCCTTGAGGGACGCCTGCAGATATATTAAGGATGGAAGATAGTTCAGAGCCTATAAATACCGATTGTTTCCTTTCAGAGAGCTAATCAGTAGCCCAACTGAGAAGCAGGTCTTAAATACCATATTGTTTTAGTTTAAAAAGCAGACCTTGATTCCATACCCTGTCGAATGCTCTTGATATACGAGGGTTGTCCAAAAAATTCGTGCACTGCAGCTATTGTCGTGAGAGTTATTAATAAAAACAAATGAATTATATATCACTTGAAAGAGAAATCTGTCTCAAATAAGAAAACAAAAAAAAAAAGCCGAGTAACCGGCTCGTCATGTAAAAGAATGGTCATTGAGTTACCTTAGTAACGTAATACCGGCGCAAGACACAAAATTGGGTTAGTGCATTACTGTAATTGTATTGTTTGTTGCTTGTAAATATAAAGTGGTATTTGCATTTTATGTTATAATTTGTTTTACTGTCATTAAAGGAATGATTGATGAAAAGCATTGTGTATTTTTTATTGTTTTTTATGCAACGTGCATGAAGCATATTCCACCAGTGCAGGAATATATTGGACAACCCTCGTCACATGCGCCGGTATTACGAACGGACGTCTGCCTGACCGGTTGTCATCGTCTACCGACTCTCTTTCTCTTCCACAGAGCGTTTGTGCCATTTAAAAACCAGCCTTCGTGACACTGAACTTGTCCCGCTTGCCCTTTTAAGTTCATTGTAGGTATCTGTTGGTGATTTACCGATATTTGCACCAAATTTAATTATCGTCCGTATTTCCATACGTTTAGCGACTACGTAATTACGGTATTGATGACCGTACACAAATGTTTGATTACGACTGTTACAATAGGGCAAATGACACCATATTTTCTAGTGACGTTAGGAATACGTACACACACTTTTTCCTGAATTTTAACGTTAATATGT